CTTGACGAGCAACATTTCCCTTTCTCCCACCTTTTGGTCTGGATAGAACCAATTGGTCTCACAACGTAGAACTTTAGGATAGAGTTTGGTTAACTCTATGTAAGAATCATGGAAATGATTACTTACTTCCCTTTCTTGAGAGTTCAACATAGATCTAGAGAGTTTCATGAAACTCTACACAAGCATGGATATGTTTGTTCCCCTTTGAACCTTGATCATAATCAAGAGTTCTTCATCCCTAATGAGGTGAACTACGATTGCTCTGATTCTATCCTAGTAAGGATAATAGGCAGAGGACGCGATGTCTTTGCGAGCAAACTTAGAAATAATCTTTAAGTCTTTACCTATCACCTACACCCTTTACCCAATCCCAATCCATAGCAAACATTTACCAAACTTAGCATGCAAATAAACAAAAGGTTCCTGTAGAGTACTGCAGATGTTTAGGATGTGAAATACCTACCCTAGGCATAACCAACCCCCGATCCCCAAATCTCTTAGCGTTGTTGTTACATCGTGAAAAAAGGTTTTTCTTTCTTTAGACATTTTCTTTGGATAAATTAAAGACCGGTTGTGAATTTAAGAATTTAGATTTAAGTTAATCAATAACTTGGTATCACGATTCTCACCGGAACACTTGTGTGGTATTAAAGTCAAAGATAATGATGCAAATACTTAAAACTTAAGAGTTGTAAAATATAGAAAGTGTGAAAGCTCGTTCAATCATATTCATTTGAGTGACTAATGTCTTGTAAAGGCGCAAGAGTAATTTTGAAATTAATAAGGAAAAATCACACACACTAAAAACTTTACAAAAAGCCTATCTCATTTTGTTAAAATCATGTGAAAATGTTTGTGAGGTCTAGCTAACTGGTTAAAAGATTGTTTGATCGATTGAATGACTTTTTACAACTGAACAATCGATTATTCCTAAAGCTTTAATCGATTATTTTTATTTTGTAACAAAACAATCAATTCGGACAATCTCTTAATAATTGATAACAACTAAATATCAAAACTTTTTATTTGTAACATGAACAATCAATTATTGAGATGTAATGATTGATTGGTTTAATACAATTAATCCATCCTTAAATTATTTATTTATAGATCACGTTGAAAAATCAATCGCAATCAACCGAAACAAAATGTAAATTTATTTGTAAATATGAAAAATCATTACAAATTACAAATTTCCAACATTAATAAAAAAATTTTAAAAAAAGAAGCAATTATCTTATTTTTCTATTTAAAGAATAAAAGGGCCCATTGAAATAAAATGTAGATATTTAGGGTAGGCATGGGGTACCCATTAAATATCTAATATAGAGTATTGATGGTGAGTAAGATTTGAGGTCCCCAAGACTCATTCAAACATGGCTCCATTCTTAAATATTGAATTCGAGAGGCAAAAATGCGGCATCCGCGCATGGTGAGAGTGAACTTGGACGCAATGACGAGTTGATTCAATCTTTAAAAAGCGCAGTATTGACTTACACGTGGGGAGCAAACCGCCAAGCCTACACAAAAATATCAAAAGTAAACAAAAGAACAATGAATTGAATATTAACCCAACGACTCTGACTTTTTAATTTCCATTTTCATTGTTTATTGTTCCTCAATCCTATTGAATAATTAAAAAATTAGACTATCTATAAATTAAAAGTATTCTTTATTCAATAAGTTAAAGTAATTTGGACATTTAAAAGGAAGATCTAATGATTCAATGATAAGAAAAGCAGATCAAATGAATAAAAAATAAAGAATTATAAAAAGAGAAAGAACTAAAAAAAAATTAAAAAAAGAATTAAAAAGATTTCAAATTTAATAATTTGGATAGAAATATATTGTTGACTTTACATAAATATGCATATAAATATTAGTATATTAATTAAAAAATAGAAACACTATTTTAAAAATTATCATTTATTTATTTAATAGATAAAAAGTTGTTTTTCCATAAAGACAATATATTAAAATAGATAAAATGTTTGTCATTTAATAAAAATATATTATTTTGTCATCTATAACATATATAAATGCAATATTTGGTTTTTGGTGTAGCTTTTTTTTTATACCAAATTTATCCTTATTTTAAAATATATAACTTACACAATAACTTCCATTGAAGTACTATTATCATCTTTCATATAACTCCTTACTAATAACTTCTCACATAACTTCCATGTAAAATTAATATTAAATAAAAATATATCATTTATATTTGTATGTGTGCAATAAAAAAGCGGACAGACGGGCACGCGAGTATCCGTCTGAACGCTAGTTTGATATAATTTTTTTAAAAATAACAATCTAACTTGGCGGAATTCATGGTCGTGATAAAATTTGTTTACACTTAATGCATCACTCATTTTTTCATTGACAAAAGGTTAAAGGAGATGCATTAACATTGTAAAAAAGTTTTACAATGTCATTCAGTTAAAACATATCATTTTGGTATGTCATATAAATTTTTTTAAAAATTACAGTCTAATTTGACGAAATTTATGACCGTATTTAGTTGACGGTGTAAAATTTGTATACACTATCAATGCATCACTCATTTTTTCATTGACAAAATGTTAAAGGAGATATCGTTAACAATTCTACACTATCCTCTAATAAGAACATATCGTTTTGTCATGTTATATAAATTTTTTAAAAATTACACTTTCCATCTTATATTATAAACAAATTTTACTTTTTAGATTCATTATAAAATTAATGTATCTGGTCTATATATAGATCAGATACATTAATTATTTAATAAATTTAAAAAAACAAAATTTATTTATAATATGAGACGGAGTAGAATTGATTGCATTGTAAATAATATTTATAATGTATTTTTGAATTTATTTTGATATATTTAAGAAAACATATTCTCACAGCAACCAAACAGAAATTGTCTTCCGAGGTATACGGTTGTTAACAAACCTCCATTCCCGTCCTCATTCAATCAATCACAACTTGTATTGCTATTGTTAATGTGGTTAAGGATTCATCGAACCTAGACATTGCTTTCTGTTCGTGTTATTTCTTCTGTTTTTCATCATGCACTCAAAAGTTCAAATCGAATCTTACAGTGGAAACCTTACCTGTAATAGTTCTTTATTTCTTCTCCCATGTTCATCATTTTCATTTTCAGTTAAGTTTTGATCTCTACTTTTTTCAGAAACTCTGACAAAGGAGTTTTTAAAGTGCATTCGTGACTATTATTTTATTGATATATTGAAATTTAAATTCTCCACTATCAATGGCTTGCATGAGAAGCTGGGAATTGACAGGTGAATCAAATTTTGACTTTTTTATTTATTTATGATCGTTAATTAGTGGCTCATAAGAGAAAGCAAAAAAGTTGTTATTTTCGTTTCTTATTCAAGTATTGAAGTATGTGTTCATGTTCTTATGCACAATGAATTAAAGTAATGCAATTCTCAATTCTCAAAATATGTATCCTTCTATAAGGTAAAGACATGAAAGACAGTCTTCTGACACATGGTTTTGAAATTTGTGGCTATTAAGTTATTGTTAAATGATATCTTATAAAATATTTGTCATGGTTAAACCTTAGTTAATTAAATAGTGTATTTATTTGTTTTGTAAAAAACTTATACAAAACATTGCGTCGAAATTGATAAGTAAGATTACAATTCTATCCCTGCAACTGTGATTGGAAAGAAACCAAAACTATTTGATATAAAAACGGACTCTCAAGCTGGGTTAATCTGTTGAATGGTGATGAAAAAAAACTATAGAGAATTGAAAAAACTTGAAACTGTTTATGAATTATTGTAATGGAATCCTCCAAAGTAAACCATTTGTTTTTTTTGTCAGTCAAATATGTCTTTTATTGTTTTCTTTTTTTATAGTGACTTTTTGGTTTTTCCTTTGTTGAGGTTTTAGGATTTGATTCCTTTCTAATTGAATTTTTAATGTTCTTTCTGAGAATGACATAATTTTTATATTCCTTTGGAAAAGGTACATGACAATTGTGAAGAGTCACATACCAAAGAGTCTAAGACCAAACCAAAAATAAATCACAATCAATGACCCATAATATGAACATGATTATGATATTTTCTTTAGACATTATTTGTCTTCCTTCTAGATATTTTTTTCCATCAAATTATTTGTCCTAAGATTTGACAAAGGAAACTTGCATAGTATTAGTACTATTTCAAATGAATGATTGTAATTGACTTAATTAAAATTAATTTTGTTGTCTCTCTTTTTCAAACTTCAAGACTCTGTGGCTTTCCAAGTCCCACATTGCTGATTGTCCTATTCTTCATGCCTTGTTAGAGTTAACAAAATTGCTAGATGACCATGTGACTTAGAAAATTCCATGGTTATTGTTTGGTAGTGATTGAAAATTATGTAACTTTGACAAGTATAAGGATACGTTTCACACATTAATTTGTTAAGTTTTCAATTTCAGCTTGAGAACCTTGACTCAAACATAAAATCATTCATGTTATATAATCCAATGGCTTCACAATAAAGCATTACAGATTGAACCAGTGACCATTCAAATCTTCTCTTCAGGTTTGCTAGACTTTTCATAATATTTCTCATTGAATGATTTATTTTACGAAAATTACAAGTGTTTCAACACGGTCCGCGACTTGAAACGATGGACATCATCATTTGAAAGTAGAAGTTTGCGGATTCGATCAATGTCTAATTATTGAACTCATATTCCAACATTATTTGTGTTTTACTGACACCGATTAAGTCACACCCTCGACCCTATGGACCGCGGTCCACAAGTTTCTTAGAGTTTCGAGTGTGTCTCTATTATATCTTTGAGTATCTTCATTTATGAACTATCTAGTTGAGCTGTAAGCAACATGCTTGACTTTGCATGCAATATTTATGAATCATATTTTATTGTAATGTAATTTAATGTTACTGCTGGCCTTTATTGCCATCACCGGTTAAGTTACGACTTTTCTTTCTATAATATAACAGAGTGAAGGTCACTGTTGGTGTATCAAATGGATTCTCCAACTCGTAGAGATACCGAAAGAAACCAGATATCGCCTTTAGACGATGAAGTGGCGAATGCATACAGAGTTGCAGTTCCTCCAAAACAGAACTTGTTCAAGGAATTTCAATATACAGTTAAAGAAACATTCTTTGCTGATGATCCTCTAAGATCCTTCAAAGACCAAACAAAGTCGAAAAAGCTAATCCTTTGTATTGAGGCAATATTCCCAATATTTAACTGGGGGAGAGGCTATAATCTTAAGAAATTTAGAGGAGATATAATTGCTGGTCTCACTATTGCAAGTCTTTGCATACCTCAGGTAAATTTTCTTTATGATGCTAATACACTATAATTCATGTTAGTTGCTTCATAGTTTATGTTCTAATACTTGGTTTGAAAAATAGGATATTGGATACTCGAGGCTTGCGCATTTGGCTCCGCAGTATGGACTGTGTAAGACTGTTGTCTCAAATCCGAAGTTTTGTTTTTGGAATTTTATATGTTGAACCGAAATTTTGTTACAGACTCAAGCTTTGTTCCACCGCTGATTTATGCATTCATGGGGAGTTCTCGCGATATAGCAATAGGACCGGTGGCTGTGGTTTCTCTCTTGATGGGGACTTTGCTTAGTAACGAGATTGATCCGGTTACTCATAAAGAAGAATATCAAAGACTTGCTTTTACGGCCACGTTTTTCGCTGGGATTACACAAGCAACTCTTGGGATTTTCAGGTATATATCCTACAAAGCACTAAGACAGACACCGACACAGACAACAGATATACATGTATTACAAACGTTACCCTATTTAACATATCATGATCATCTTATAGTTAGGTTGGTTCTCTTGTTTTTTTATGCCGAAAAAACAGGTTAGGATTTTTGATTGATTTCCTATCCCATGCTGCTATTGTTGGTTTTATGGGAGGTGCTGCCATCACAATTGGCCTTCAACAGCTAAAGGGTTTCCTTGGCATTAAAAGCAAAATGTTCACAACAAAAACCGATATCGTCTCCGTGCTGCATTCAGTGTTCTCATCAGCCAAACATGGAGTATGATCTCTTTCTCTTTATCTCTCAATATGCACAAGCAAGTTATGAACTATATAAGAAAATGAGAAATGCACTAAATTGATGCATGATCGAATATTTACAATCTTGCAGTGGAACTGGCACACTATATTAATCGGAGCTAGCTTTCTGTGTTTTCTTCTCGTCGCCAAGTATATCGTATGACATTAAACTCCCTTTTTCATCTTACTATTATATCTTAAATAGTTAGGACTGCAAAGTTTTTTCTAATATTATTTCATGTTTTGTTGATTAGGGAAAGAAGAACAATAAGTTCTTCTGGGTGCCAGCAATTGCTCCATTGATATCTGTCGTGCTGTCCACTTTTTTCGTATTCATAACACGCGCAGATAAGCAAGGGGTAGAAATTGTAAGTATATAAGAATTTGAAGTTCCATCCTCATTCCGAATATTTCAGAATATGATTGTTTTCACATAGTTTTAATTTCCATAGAACTAAAGGGTTTGTTCATTGATATGTGAAGGTAAATAAAATAGAGAAAGGGATCAATCCTTCGTCTGTTCATGATATTTATTTTAGCGGCGAATATCTTGGGAAAGGTTTTAAAATCGGTGTCACGGCAGGCATGATAGCACTGACAGTAAGCAAAAATAATACTACTAGTACTAGAAGTATCTCTCTAGATGAGTATTTCTTCTATTATTTACTACGACATTTCAAATTAATCGGTTGCGTTTTGGTTTTCAGGAAGCCATAGCTATTGGAAGAACTTTTGCATCTATGAAGGACTATCAACTCGACGGAAACAGAGAAATGGTTGCATTAGGAACAATGAACGTTGTTGGTTCGATGACTTCATGTTATGTGGCAACCGGTAAGATCATAATGAACAGAAGTTAAGAATATGTTTAGACGAATATTTTAAGTAGCTGATCTATTGTTATTGTCTTAGGTTCTTTCTCTCGGTCGGCGGTAAACTACATGGCTGGCTGCCAAACTGCGGTATCTAATATTGTGATGTCCGCGGTTGTTTTTCTAACGCTGCAATTCCTAACTCCGCTTTTTAAGTACACTCCAAATGCAATTCTTGCTGCCATCATCATTTCCGCTGTCATCAGCCTTGTGGACTATCAGGCAGCAATTTTGATTTGGAAGATCGATAAATTCGATTTCATTGCTTGCATGGGAGCATTCTTTGGAGTTGTTTTCATTTCGGTTGAGATCGGACTTCTAATTGCTGTAAGTAACAAAACTTACTTATCCTATGCTCTAAATCGTTAGGTGGTTGGCCTGATAGCGGAAACTTTATTATATTATCTCTACCCTTTGTGGCAGGTTTCTATATCTTTTGCGAAAATCCTATTACAAGTGACAAGGCCAAGAACAGCTATTTTGGGGAAGATTCCTCGGACAACTGTGTATAGAAACATCCAACAATATCCAGAAGCTAGTAGGATTCCAGGTGTAATGATTGTAAGAGTTGATTCTGCAATATACTTTTCCAACTCCAACTATGTTAAAGAAAGGTAAAGAATAACTAACTCCTCCTTTGTTTATACGTTGACAACTATAAAAAGAATCACTTAAGAACATTTTCTTGAGACTTAAGATTGTGTTCTGTTGCAGGATATTAAGATGGTTAACGGATGAAGAAGCTGTGAAAGGAGATTTCCACACAAGAATTCAGTTTTTGATAGTTGAAATGTCACGTTAGTCTCTAACTTTGTCCTTAATTTGTTTTAGCCTAGTACTCAGAGCCGTCTTTGAGAGCGAGCTACTGCACCTCTATTTGGCTTGTCACAGTTAAACTGCGACTAATCTAGACAGTTTAGCTGGGACCCCAAAAAACTTGAGACTGGTGATACTCGTATAGTAGAAACATCATTTTCATGTTGTTTTGTAGACTAAATTTAATGATTTTGTGGCAGCTGTTACTGATATTGATACAAGTGGCATTCAAGCCTTTGAAGAGTTACATAGAAGTCTTGAAAAAAGAAGTGTTCAAGTAAGTTACCAAATGAATGATGCATGAAAATGATGTTACTATATCATAGGACAAAACATATTAATAATTTTCTTACCAATATTGTGTTATTTGTTTGAGCAGCTTGTTCTGGCAAATCCTGGTTCAGCAGTGACAGACAAACTTTACACGTCCAATTTTGCTAACATAATTGGGCAGGACAAGATTTTCCTCACTGTTGCAGAGGCTGTTGCATATTGTTCTCCAAAGCTTGATGTAAACCCATGAAAAAACTCATTAAGAGAGAAAATTGGGTTATGTGAGAATGAAAAGCTTAGTAGATGGTAGCAAAGCCAAAAGGATAAAGATAGAAAAGATGGGATATGATATGATATGATATCACTAACTAAAGTTAGCAAAAAGGGGACTACATAGGATATATCCGATACTGAAAAATAGTGTCACAATGATCCTTGTCCTAAAGTAAGGAAATTAAATATTGAAAACATAAAAGGTGCATGAGTTGTGCACTCTCAATAATCATTGACTAGTCCCCTAGTTTTGTCTTTGTAATCCATAGAAAGCTAACATGGCTATGTAACTATGTACCTATGTGTGTATAGTATGAAGAGTAGTCTCATTTTCATAAGAGGTGTTCATCTATACCTATCATTGTGTATGATGTATGATGCAACAAAATGTTTACTTTTTCTATCATTTCATGCTGGCAATTCTTATTGAAGTTAGGTTCACTTTGAGGTTTGAATGATAATGGCATAAACAAACTATTGCAAACATTACTATTTGCGGATAGAAGGAACTTCGTTCTTCCACTTGACCTTGAACATGGATGCTAGGGTGGCAAGAGCATCCGCTAGTTAATTTTCCTCCCTAGGAATATGATGAAAAGAGATTTCATCAAAGTAGGAAATTTATTTCGTAACGTGTTTTTGGTACGGAACCAGCTTGAAATCCCGAGTTACAAAATTCCCTCTGACTTGGCCAATCACCAAGGAAGAATCTTTGTAGACCTCAAGAATCATGATTCTCATGTCAATGGTGGCTTCAATACCGTAGATACATGCTTCGTACTCAACCATATTGTTGGTGCATTCAAAGCATAATATTGCGGTGAAGGGAAGATGAGAACATGTCGAAGAGATGAGGATAGAACCAACTCCACGACCTTTAGCATTGGCAGCACCGTCGAACACGCGCGTCCATCGCACCCCTGGTTCTTGTACTATATCAGGGTGTGGAGTCTCATAATCTCTGATGAACAGAACGCCTTCATCGGGATAGTCAAACTTTATATGCTGATATCCTTCCACAGGTTGATAAGCAAGGTAGTCAGACAAGACGCTCCCTTTTATTGCTTTCTGGGTAACATGTTGGATATCATACTCAGTCAACAGCATTTGCCACCGAGCAATTCGTCCAGAGGCAGCAGGCTTTTCGAAAATGTACTTTATCGGATCCATCTTAGATATCAATAAAGTGGTATGGCAAATCATATATTGTCTCAGGCATCGAGCGACCCAAGTCAGAGCACAACAAGTTTTCTCCAATAGTGAGTATTTGGTCTCACAATCACTGAACTTCTTACTCAGATAGTAAATTGCATGTTCTTTTCTGCCAGTTTCGTCATGCTGGCCTAATACGCATCCCATCGATTCATCGAGAACAGTGAGATACATGATTAAAGGCCTACCAGGTACCGGAGGTACTAAGATCGGTGGTTCTTGTAAATATTGTTTATCTTGTCAAAAACTTCTTGACAATCATTGTTCCATTCAACCGATTGATTTTTTCTTAGTAATTTGAAAATTGATTCACAGATAGCCGTCAGATGAGAAATGAATCTAGAAATGTAATTAAGTCGGCCCAGAAAGCCACAGACTTCTTTTTCTGTTTTGGGAGGCGGCATGTTCTGAATTGCCCGAACCTTGTCAAGATCAACTTCAATGCCCTTCTGACTCACAATAAAGCCCAACAGTTTATCAGATCGAACTCCAAAGGTGCACTTTGCTGGATTCAACCGTAGTCCAAATTTTTGGAGTCTGTCAAACAGCTTTTTCAGATGGTCCAGATGATCATCTTCAGTTCTAGATTTGGCAATCATATCGTCCATGTAAACCTCAATCTCTTTATGGATCATGTCGTGAAAGAGGGTTGCGATGGCACGTTGGTATGTTGCCCCTGTGTTTTTCAAACCAAATGACATGACTTTGTAGCAATATGTACCCCAAGGCGTGATGAAAGTAGTCTTCTCCATATCGGCTGGGGATATTTTGATTTGATTATATCCTGAGAAATCGTCCATGAATGAAAAGACAGAGAACTGCGTTGTGTTGTCTACCAAAACATCAATATGAGGCAGAGGAAAATCATCTTTCGGGCTCGCCTTTTTGAGATCTCGATAGTCCATACACATTCGGACCTTCCCATCTTTCTTTGGATCCGGGACGATATTGGCAATCCATTCAGGATACTCGGAAGTGGCTAGGAACCCAGCGTCAAATTGCTTCTTTACCTCTTCTCTGATTTTAAGTGCCATGTCGGGTCTGGTCCTTCTGAGTTTCTGCTTGACAGGAGGACAATCAAGCTTGAGTGGCAAGTGATGTTCAACGATGTTGGTATCCAACCCAGGTATATCTTGATAAGACCAGGGGAAAATATCAACATACTCTTTCAATAGCTTGACCAACTCGGAGTGTACATGCTTAGCAAGGGATGCCCCAATCTTGACTTTTTGTTTACTTCATCAGTACCAAGATTGATAACCTCCACTGACTCTTTGTGTGACTGAATCTCTCTCTGCCCGTGCTCAATGAGCCTTTCTAGTTCAGCCGGTAATTCACAATCTTCCTCACCATCTTCTTCGGCTTGGTTAATTGGGATTCCATAATTACAACGGATGTTTGCCAAGTTGTTATCAATGCAATTATTTGTTCCGCATGTTTATGAATTATGTTTAGAATGAAGCTATTTGAAAAGGTGAAAAATAAAAGAAGCTTTGCCATTTGTTTATTTGTGAAAAACAAAATAAAGAAAGAAATAAGAGCATGATTTGAATGCAAAAAATCTTTTATTTATTGATCACATAATGTTTCAAAAGCGCAAGGCCCTTACAAGCTATCCACTCGTCTCGGGCGAGGAAGAGGGAACAAGAAAACAAAATGCATTACATGTTTGGAGGGAAAACCAAAGGAATCACAGTAGATGTCCAATTGTTAAGCTTGAAACTCGAAGGACATTTGCGTACAAAGCTCATACTTCGGCTGCTAGGACCTGCATCGTCAATGGCTGGCACAATATCCCTCTCTTGGAATCCAGCGGTTGTGAACTTAATCAAACTGTATTTCTGATGACTGCATGAACTAGCCTGTTGATCAGGATGGTAGCCCAGTCCAAAGCGATCATGCTTTTCAACCACATCCAGGATTTTCCCCCAGCCAGGCAAGGCGTCTTTCTCAATGGTCTCTTTAGCGCTCTTGACAAATGACATGGCCATTTTTGGTAGTCTACCAGAATTGACAGAAGCGGATCTGACATCTTCAAATTTAAGACATTGCAACAGCACATTAGCTATACCTTCATCAGTCTCGAAATATCGGAAGGATGATAACTCGCTTACTAGAAAATCTTCTTCGCCACAGACGATGACCATCTGATCTTCAAACATGAAATTTAGCTTCTGATGCAACATGGATGTAACTGCCCCTGCGGCATGGATCCAGGGTCTACCCAATAAACAACAGTATGCAGGATTGATATCCATCACTTGAAAAGTAATGGTAACCAAATGCGGTCTAACTTTGATGGGTAAATCCCCTTCGCCAATGACTTGCCTTCGAGAACCGTCAAAAGATCTAACAATCAAAGCGCTTGGTCTCATCTCGCTCCCCTCTACCAATAGTTGACTCAATGTACCCTTAGGCATCACATTGAGAGAAGAATCGGTATCCACAAGAACGCGAGATAGCAAAGAGTCCATACAAGTCATTGAGATATGCAAGGCTCTATTATGGGCAGTACCTTCAGGAGGCAACTCTGACTCATTGAAACCCAAGTATCGACTAGCAATTATGTTTGCGACGACGTCGTTAAATTGCTCTACTGGAACGTAGTGCATCACATGAGCAGTGTTTAAAACTTTCAAAGCTGATATGTGCGCTGGTGAGCTCATGAGAAAAGATAAGATAGAAATCCTGAATAGAGTTTTCCCTAGCTGACCCACAATCTTAAAGTCGCTCTTCTTAATCAACTTGAGGAACTCTTAATCATCCATGACTTCTTTGCTTTCGGTGACATCTGCAGACAGAGTGACTGGAAATGATGCTGCAATTGATGCCCCTTGTTGTACAACAGGGGTTGCTGAAGTAGATTTCTCCTTAGAAGGAACAAAAGTTGGAATTTGCATTGGCTTATATACGACTTTTGGGGCAAATACTCACCCGCTGCGAGTCATCCCTCTAGTGGCGGTTACCCCAGAGAACGCAATTGGACCATACTCCAAGGAAACTCTTTCTAATTCTGATACGGGAATGACTTAGGCAAATAGACAGTGATAGGTTGAATATTCTATTTAGGAGCTTCCACAGGAACCTTCCTATATACGATTGTGAACGGCTCGATAGTAGCTACCTCCTCCACAGACTTGGCTCTGGCAAACTGAACTACATCTTGGTTCATCAAGATCTGAATGAAACCTTTCAACCTTCGGCAGTGATTGGGATTATTATCGCAGATCTGGCATTTCTCATGAAGACCTTTTAATAACCCTTGTTCTTTAAACTCCTTGATCATAACAGTCATCGGAGTTTTCGCTTTGTCGACATCTCTGATCAACTCAGCCCTTTGATCAACCTCAATCATATTAACTACAGGTCCACCATGGGTAGTCAATGGATTAGTTTGTATATTAGGACACTCCTCAGAAAATGTCAAGATTTTTTTATCAATAAGCTCTTGAACTTTGGCCTTGAGAACAATACAATCTTCAGTAGCATGTCCTATGTACCCAGCATGGTAAGCACAGGATGCTTTCAGATTATACTTTGGACCAAAAGGAGGAACTGCAGGTGCAATTTCTCTGGGGACTATTGCCTCTTGATGAATCAAATAAGGAAACAACTTTGTATAAGGCACATGAATTCTATCAAAATCCATTCGCTTATGGTTGTTCTGATTATTATTATTCTGATTGTCCTAATGTTGATTTATGTTGTTTTGCTGAGACTGTTGAGGTTGATTCTGATTCTGAGAATTATGAACTTGTGGTTGAT